GATTAATGATTACGAACGCCTTCACCTCCCTCACGTTAACTATGGTCGTTGCTAAGGACTTTAGCGTAGTGCATGTTTTTTTTTATCCTGGGAGGAGGCGGAGATGTTCCCCTGATGGATGCTGTTGACCTACCTCGGATTGCGCGGGTTTTCATCAACCAGATATCTTCTCCAGCGTGGGTCCGCCCAATCCGAAAAAGCTCTATGCTCATGGCTTCTCTCCCGACATGTGTGGTAGTGTAGTGCATATGAGTATAGATAAGGGATGAGAATAGGACCAGGAAGGGGAACGCGTAGTCCCTGGCCCGTTTGTTAGGGTACTGCTCTAGCATTCGCCTAGAGTTGACCGGACAAACTTCGGAAAACTACCGATCATAGATCTCTAGAGTTCGTTCGGATCATACGAAGATTCCAAAGGGATTGCGAACAATAGATTTTAATGATCGTAAAATTGAAAAATAATTTTATGTTTTGTAATGTCTCATGTAGGGTCGGCAGTTTGAGCCGCCAAGACATTTCTGTCGATCCCATCAGATTTTGCTGATTGTTCGTCTTGCTACCGTTGTCAGTTTTCCTGGGGTTTAGGAGTAGTTCATTGAATTTTGTATTTTTATTGACAATTATTTTCAATACTTACTGGATTGGCGGCAACTTCAACGACCTCCCTCTCATTAATAATAACGTTTATTACACGTTTATTTCATGTCGGTAGCAGATTCTTAAGTTAGTGCTGACTGGAGATTTCAATTATCATAAAATGTGAAAGTTTTTTTTAAATTACACAGGTTTTCAATATTTGCCCTTAACTTGATGGTGCTCAAGGCAATAGCAGAGATGACGTGTCTTTATCGTCTAAGATTGTGCTTGTTTGCCTTGCAAAGGGAGCATTGTCATTAAGGGGAATGACTAGAGATTTCATTCCTCGTGTGGATTCTTAGAGATATAAGCTGCCGTTGCCGTGTTAGTTGATTGACCTCACGAACAAGGTTGCAAAGTTTACCGTTTGTTATTCAAGCTATGGTTTTGTGTTCCCGTGCGATTACGTGGCTGGGTATTTTAATTGACAACTAGTTCCTGCGATTATGACGGGGCAGCAAAGGCAATACAATAGGCAATGATGGCGTCCCTGTCGATAAATTTAGATTTCCCTTGTGCTAGTTGTTCTTTCGAACCGGCTAAGTTAGCTCAAGGCATCAACTGATAGTATTACAGTGCCTCTAATCATGAGCTCCTATGATTCGAATATCGACAGCTTTTTACACTAGCTGGTAGTTAGGCCGTGTTCAACCGCTGTCTGGAGACTGGCCTGATCGTTAGTTTTCCGCGGCTTATCCGATTAACTCCAGACGAATGGCGGAGCAGTATCCTAACAAACGGGCTACGGATCGCACGCGATCTTTCCATTCTCTTCCCTCTCCTTTCCTCATCCCTGACTTACACCGACTTTCACTTACACTACCACACATGCCGGGAAATCGGTCGGGAGCTTAAAAAATTGCACGGTAGGGGCGGTGCCTCGTGGGAGGTATCTGGTTGGGGAAACTCCGCTGCTCGACATTTACATTGGCGCCGGATCTTGCCATCCACCTGAGAAAGATCACCGACACTACAGCGATATAAACATGTACAATTACGGGACAAATGGGTTTTGTTTGTTTTTTGTGGTTTTTTTGGCACTTCAAGTGCTCGGAAACACCCATCAATCAATTTTCCTTTGGTGGAAAATTCGCATTTGGTAATTTTGCCGGATATTTCCACCCTTCTTATTATTTTACCGAGACTTAATTAACTTGTATATAGCGCCGAGAGTGCTATCTACGAAAGCCGTTTCCAGCATGACAACCCATTGCCTGGGAGTTTACCGCTTGCTCATCTCGCTTCTGCTGTAGATCATATGCCAATGTTTACTGCAGTGAAAACGGTAGCTGTTGAGAATACGTTTCTTTTGATTAGAGTTCATCGCCAAAGCTGTGTCTTTGCTGGAATAATAGTCATGATGTTGAACCTTTGCAGTTTTGAATGCTTACGGTTTACAGATTAATTAGTTGCAATATTTATTAGGTTGCTATGGCATTGGATGTTTGTGGTAGCAGGAATGTAGGTTCTGGTTGAAGCAACTGCAACGTCAATCTTATTTGCCACAAATTCACTGTTGATTGGGGCTTTTCCGGAAGCGCAAATGTCACAGCAACTGAAAATTTCAATTCTCATTATTGTTCATGAATTACCTACTTCAATATCATGTGATATTTGTTGCGATAACGGTAGCAGCCCGGGCGGTAGTAACCTTGACGACCTTACGAATACCTAAGAGTTAGATTATTTTTCTTCTTTCATCGTAGATTTCTAAAAGGACATAGATAGCTCATTCTTTTTATATTTGTTTATTCTGAGTCTCAATATCGTCTGATCTCAGAGTCGATTCTCTCTCCCTCTCTCTCGATTCATTAATTCATTTATTTATAGATTCATTGATTCATTGATGCATTGATTCATTGATTCATTGATGCATTGATTCATTGATTCATTGGTTCATTGATGCATTGATTCATTGATGCATTGATTCATTGATGCATTGATTCATTGATGCATTGATGCATTGATGCATTGATGCATTGATGCATTGATTCATTGATTCATTGATGCATTGATTCATTGATTCATTGATTCATTGATTCAATGATCCAATGATTCATTGATTCAATGATTCATTGATTCAATGATTCATTGATTGAATGGTTCAATGGTTCAATGATTCAATGATTCAATGATTCGTTCATTCGTTCGTTCGTTTGTTGATTGATTGATTAATTGATGATTGGTGATTGGTGATTGATGATTGATAATTGATGATTTATGTTTGATGATTGACGATTGATTGATGATTGACGATTGATTGATGATTGACGATTGATTGATGATTGACGACGATTGACGATTGACGACGATTGACGATTGACGATTGACGATTGACGATTGACGTTTGACGATTGACGATTGACGATTGACGATTGACGATTGACGATTGACGATTGACGATTGATGATTGATGATTGATTGATTGCTGGGTTGATTGTAGGTTGATGGTTTGATTGATAATTGATGATTTGATTGATGATTGAAGATTTGATTCATTCATGATTGATGATTGATGGTTTGATTGATGATTGATGATTTGATTGATTCATGATTGATTGATGATTGATTGATGATTGATGATTGATGATTGATGATTGATGATTGATGATTGATTGATGATTGATGATTGATGATTGATTGATGATTGATTGATTGATGATTGATGATTGATTGATGAGTGATTGATGATTGATTGATGATTGATTGATTGATGATTGATTGATTGATTGATGATTGATTGATTGATTGATTGATTGATTGATTGATGATTGATTGATTGATTGATGATGATTGATTGATTGATTGATTGATGATGATTGATTGATGATGATGATTGATGATGATGATTGATTGATGATGATGATTGATGATGATGATGATTGATGATGATGATTGATTATTGATTTATGATTGATTGATTGATGATTTGATTGATGATTGATGATTTGATTGATGATTTGATGATTCATGATTGATGATTTGATTGATGATTTGATTGATGATTGATGATTTGATTGATTCATGATTGATTCATGATTGATTGATTGATTGATTGATTCATTATTGATTGATTGATGATTGATGATTAATGATTGATTGATGATTGATGATTAATGATT